AAACAACAAATGTTGGCAAGGATGTGGAGAAAGGGGAACCCTCGTACACTGCTGGTGGGAATGTAAATTAGTTCAGTCATTGTGGAAAGCAGTATGGAGATTCCTCAAAAAAAACTCAAAATAGAAATATCATTTGACCCAGGAATTCCACTCCTAGGAATCTACCCTAAGAACGCAGCAACCCAGTTTGAAAAAGACACATGCACCCCTATGTTTATTGTAGCACTATTTACAATAGCCAAGAAATGGAAGCAACCTAAGTGTCCATCAGTAGATGAATGGATAAAGAAGATGTGGTACATATACACAATGGAATATTATTCAGCCGTAAGAAGAAAACAAATTCTACCATTTGCAACAACATGGATGGAGCTAGAGGGTATTATGCTCAGTGAAATAAGCCAGGTGGAGAAAGACAAGTATCAAATGATTTCACTCATCTGTGGAGTATAAGAACAAAGAAAAAACTGAATGAGCAAAACAGCAGCAGACTCACAGAACCCAAGAATGGACTAACAGTTACCAAAGGGAAAGGAACTGGGGAAGATGGGTGGCAAAGGAAGGATAAGGGGGCGAGGGAAGAAAGGGGGCATTATGATTAGCATACATAACTTGGGGTGGGGCATGGGCAGGGCTGTACAACACAGAGAAGACAAGTAGTGATTCTACAGCACTTTACTATGCTGATGGACAGTGACTGCAATGGGACATGTCGTGGGCACTTGGTGATGGGGGGAGTTTAGTAAACATAATGTTCCTCATGTAACTGTAGATTAATGATACCAAAAAAACTTAGTATAATTGGATTTCATTTGCTTAAGAAGCTAGTGATAAGATTGAACATATTAGGTAGAAACAGAGAAGACATAACAGAGAACCAAAATAAAACTTCTAGAGATTTAAACTACAATGTCTTAGTTGAGAATAGAAATCACTGAATAGGACCAATGGAAAATTAGACACTGCAGAAGAAAAGATTAATAAACTTGAAGACATAGCAGTAGAAAGTATTCAAAATGAAATAGTAAAATGACTGAAAAAAAAATGAACAGAGTACCAGTGAGTTGTAGGAAAAATTCAAGGGACCTAATATATGCTTAATTGAAACACTGATTGGAGAGAGAGGAGGGAATTGAAAAAATCCTTGAAGAAATAAGGAAAGAAAAATTTCCAAATCTGATGAAAGCTCAGAGATCTAAGAATTTCAACGAATCTCATGCACAAGAAACACGAAGGAAATTATGCCAAGGGACATCATAATCAAATTGCTCAGCATTAGCAATAAAGAGAATATCCTGAAAGCTTCTACAGACAAATGACACATTCTGTTCAGAGAAACAAAAAGGTAAGGGTAGCGTAGTATTTCTTGTTTGGAAACAATGTAAGCAGTAAGATAGTGGAGCAACATCTGAGAAAAAAATCCCTGTCTACCTAGAATTCTATACCCAGAGAATATATCTTGCAAAAAGAAAGGTGGAATAAATTCTTTTTGATACATACAAAGGCTGAAAGAATTCATCAGGAGCAGACTTGCACTACACAAAATTTTAAAGGAAATTCAAGCACAGGGAAAACAATACCGAAGAGGAATCTGGATCTATACAAAGGAAGTAAAGGCATACATACAATTCCATTTATATGAAACTCTAGAAAATGCACACTTATCTGACAGAAAATGGATCAGTAGTTGCTTGGGGAAGGGCAGGAGGAAGGGAATACAAAAGGGGCATGATGGAAGCTTTCGGGAGAGGTGGACTTATTCATTATTTTGATTGTGGTGATGGTTTCACAGATGTATGTATATATAAAAAATGCCAAATTATAAATTTGAAACATGTGAAGTTCATTGTATCTCAACTATTTACCTCAATAAAGCTGTTACAGAGACTAATGCCCAGTAACAGTAAAACTGCCACATATTCTTTTTAGAAAGAGGAAGAGTAAGTACATTTCATAAACAAAGTTTGCTAGAGCCCTTTACAGCTTACAGTGCACTTTCACACCCATTCATATTATTTGATCATCTGAGCCATCAGAATAATAGGGTTATTAATGGTTACCTTGCCTCTTTTCCCAGAATCATGGAGAGGATCAAATGAGAGGATGATATGAAAGCTTTGTTTAAAGACATTAAAGATACTGTGATGCTTTGAGGTGGGTGTGCTGCGCCCAATGCCAGCTCCCAAAGATGCTCAAACTCCAACATAAAAAAATGTTTATTTCTACATTTCTAGCCTCCTTCTTTTACAAAGTGGGAAAACAGTCATCCAACTCAGGAGATTTCTAGTACTTGTGAACTTTCAGGGAGCAGGTTCAAATTTAAAGGGAAAAATTTAGTTGTTTTCATGTTTTCTCATCACTGATTCCAACCCGTTTTCCTTTGGTAGCCCTGAGAATGTTTCCAGGAGGTGCTTGTTACCAGAAAGCTGATTTCAAAGACTTTTAGATGGATGCCTCCTGAGTAGCATGTTGTCTTTTATGTACAACTGTTCAGGGCTTTTTAAGACCTTTCAATTCTTATTAAAATAGTCTTTTGTGGAATGCTCTGTTATCATTGCTAAGTGCTGTTGAATCTTCAGTAGTTAAGATTTTATAGCACTTAACAAATGCATTAAGAGTATTGTACATGTACCTCTTCCTCTCCTTCTCTATGTTACCAGCCTGCATTATCTTTTCCCTGGCCTATTGCAACATGCATCTAACTGACCTCCTCTCTACTTTTCTCCTCTTTTCTCTGATCCATTTTTATACAGTGCTGTCTGATTAATATTTTAGAAACTATCATGTGTTCAAGAATTTCTTTGACAGTTCCCCATTACCCGAAGAGTAAAGACCCAACTATTAAGATTTTCAAAGTGTGCTAACAACTGGTATTTTTCCTTCCCCTTTCATGTCCACTCAGTAGACAAACCACTATTCACTGTTTCCTTGGATGTTCATCAAAACTTAACCACCTTTGTACCTTTGCCCATGCTGTATCTATGCCTCACTGCCCACATTCAAATACTTTCTCTTTGTCAAAGACTTGGTCTAAATGCTACCTTTCTTGATACCAGATCAGGAGTTTGAAATTTTCTCTTCTTTCTTTCTCTCTCTCATTCCCTCTCTCGCTCCTTTGACTTCCATCACACTTTACCCATACTTCTCCTACAGCACTTATAACTTTCAATCATTTATTAGCACTGAGTGTGTCCTAACAGTCTTGAGCAATGCCTGGTACTGAATGTTTCTTTAATAAATGAAAGTATGACTGCATATTAACCCTAAGTTCATTAAAGGTAAGAAGTAGGTGTTACTCATTTTTTATTCTACACAACACCTAGCCCAATAACTTACACAAAGGAGATGTCCAACAAGCACCTGTTAGATAAAGGAAGATTCTGCTACCATAAAATCTCTAACACTTGGATCCAGTTCTCCCAAATCATTATTCTTAGGAAAGGAAGTAGTTAATGTTCCAGGCCCTTTCTAATTACCCTGTCTTTTGCCTTCAGGCTTATTTGCCCACTGCCCTCTAAGGAACAATACCAATTCAAAATAAGCAAAGGATCAGACATGAAACAATCTTGAAACTACTCCAAAAGGCAAAGGACATCACTATATAATATTTAACAGAAATCACTTCAATTATAATTCCTCGCGTCAGTCTCCCAATCTAAACTTTCACCATGAACAAGAGACATTATGTAAAGTAGCTCTTGCTATCTCGACTCCAACTACTGTTATTACTTCTGGATCAGACTAATGCTACAGTTGGCTTACCATTGCCCATATCCCTCAGTCCATCCTTTACCCAGAGAGATAGTTCTAAAACGTGCATTAGACTATGTCCCTCTACTCCTTAAAACCATCCACTGGTTTCCCATTGCATCCAGAATAATAAGCTCATTACTATAGAAGCCAAACATGATTAGGTGTTGCTTACTTTTCAGACTTCATTTCCCTTCACTGCCTCACTCTCATGTACTACATTTCAGTCATGCTAACCTTCTCTCCCCTGCTAGAATATGCCAAGTCCATTTTCATCTCAGGGCCTTTGACTTGCTCTTCCTTATTTTGTAGTGTTTTCCCCTCAGATGTTCACATGGAAATCCCAGTCATATTTTTCAGATCTCAATTCAAATGTCAGAAATGACTTGCTTTCCAACAACCCTAGGCATACTAGCCATTTTTACCTTCATAGTACTTATTAGTACCTGATATTAATTAATTATTTTACAAATATATCATATCTTTCCATTTCCAGAATGTAATATCCCTGTTGGCAGGAAGTCTGTCTGCCTCAATCTTTGCTGTATTCTCAGAAACCTAGCATTCTTCCCAGCTAGTCAATAAATATCTGATAACTAACTGACTTCCATAGCTATTTTTGAGCATCTACTTTTGTGCCAGGTTATATGTCAGATGCTGGGGAGTCAAAGTGAAATAACACACGGACCCTTCCCCTAAGGAGTTCACACTCTGGTGGAGAAGAAAGATGTGGAAGGAGACAGTTCTAGCATGGTGTTATAGGTGACATGTTAGGAGGAAGTGCTAAGGGAAGGGTGCTCAAACTAGACGAGGGCAGAGTGGGGAGAGAAGTCAGAGAAAGCTTTCCAGAGGAGTTTATGCCTGAGCTGGAGCTTTAGGATGTAAAGATGTGTGTATGGTGGGTGGAGGTGGAAAAGGTAATTCTATTCAGAAGAAAAGGCATAAAATACCATGGCACATTCTGGCAATTAGGATTAGTTTAGTGTGGCTAGGACATGGTATGTGAAGGAAGGATTGGGAGATGATGCTAAGAGGTAAAACAGATAACGAAGGCCTTCAGATTACAAGGCCATTGGGAACTACTGAAGAACTTCAAAGGAAGAAGTTTGGTGGTAACATGCATTTTACATCTCTGAAGTCAAGATGGAGTACCATTAAATCCAAACTTTAGCTGCCACAGATGCAAATACACTGATCCCCAATCTCCGTGCTCTGCCTGGTGGCCACAATCCTAATGACTAAACACCTACCAGAAAGATAAAGGGCTTTGTCCACCATGTACTCTTCAGCAAAGCGAATATGACAAAAGTTCTTTTTGCTCTTCCGAATAGCAATGATCTCTCCACACTGTTCGAACACTTCCACGATGATCTGCTCTGTCCCATTTTCAGGCAGGCCACCCACAAATACTGTTTTGCATCCTGGTGGTCGTTCTCGGGTTGCAGGAGGTGGAAGATCTAAGTGTAATTGCAAAAGCATTTGAAATTAAATTTGAAATTGAAATGTTTGCTAGGGACAGACCTCTTAGAAATCTAACATGCCCAAGAGATAGTCTTACCGTCCCCATCAGACGTTTGCCTAAGAGTGTCAGAAGCATGTGGCTTCTGAGGTGCTCATCTCTGCTCCACAGCAAACTGGTTACATGAACCTGAAAACCATTTTATTCAACAGTTTGGTGACCTTGATGTCTACAGGATAAAGACTCAGACCCATCTGTCTGTCCCATCCAGAGTTTGTTAATTTAGTTCTTGACTTTTGTTGTGACAATGCAGCTATGCCCAATTTTCAGTCATTTTTATTAAGAAAGACAGTGGGGGAAATAAATCCCACTCAGTTTAAATTCTTACATTCAGCAATTCTCAGAACCACTGTCCCTGAGAGAAGTTTTTTTTAAAAAAAAATCAGTTTGTAATTATTATATTCTCTCTGTTCATGCTTACTGAAAGAACTGCTTCCAGATTAATCTGACAATGATGGGGTGAACATTTACAAAAATATTTATAGCAATCAGAATGATTTGGTTGACAAAGTCAGCCAGAGTACCAAACAAACCACTCCTTTTGTTCTTCGATACCAGTGAGCCCTTCCTCAGATTCCTGCTGGAGAGATGCAGTTCAGAGCCAATCATGCAGCATTTAGAGGGAAGTATGAAAGACAGCAGAGAAAGTAAGCTCATCTGGGAAATCACTAACTAAAGTGAGATAAATTTGGCTATAGAGAGTCATTAAAAACCTACTTAAGGAGATGATTCTCCCTCTGCTTAAAAATATGCTTTCTATTTATCTTACACCTAAAGCCTGTTGTATTTGCCAGATCCTTGTTGCTATTATATGTATCAGAGCTTTTCTAAAGCAAAATCCTATAGTCCATAGCCCAACAAAATGAAGCTTGATGGCCAAGGGTTTTTCTAGTGTTGGTTTTGTACCTGCAAGGATTTATTTTGTGTAATCCGTTCTTTCCATTCAGCTCTCAATGATAATTCTCCCAGCTGAAGATTTGGAGAGCTCAACAACCAGTGATTATAGCTCACATGCAAAAATAAATGAATCTCACTTGTAGCTTAGGCCAAAGCTCCCAACTGACACTTATCCAAGTTGGCAAGCAGGTGATTTGGGAGCTCCCTTCGGTATCAGCATCTCTAGCCTCCTCACTTTGCTGCCACTGTCTGTGTTAGTGTGGCTGAGAATAAGCAGGTTCTTTTTTTTTATTAGGTATGATTGATATACACTCTAATGAAGGTTTCACATGAAAAAACAATGTGGTTACTACATTTACCCATATTATCAAGTCCCCACCCATACCCCAATGCAGGCACTGTCCATCAGCACAGCAAGATGGAGAATAAGCAGGTTCTTATGATGCTCTCTTTCCCTTTATTTAGCCAATAAAAGAGGTAGAGGGATTCAAGGAACTTACAAAGTTCCTGTTAATTTTTTAAAGGTCTGTAATTTCAAGTACTCACTGTATTGGTTTTTTGGGTTCATTTGAGAAGTTTAAAGGGAAAAAGAAGATAACCGAATGAGCAGGAATCTGAAATGTTTAAGTCATGGACACTGCAGAGGCTATAGTTTTAGCCAAAAAGGGGAAAATGAGTCCAGAATCTCTTGAGACTTATGATTCTGAGTTTTAAAGGACTGGAAGTGATTCTGGACATCACACTTCCAGAGATTCTCAACTCTGGCAACACATTAGAATCAACTTGAGAGTCAAACAAACAATGCTTGGCCCACACTCCAATGAGTCTGATTTAATTAATCTGGGGTGCAGGCTGGGCATTATTTCTTAGAAGCTCCTCAGGCAACTAACTCTACTGTGTAACTAGGGATGAAAACCACTGACTTGATCTAAACGTCTCATATTATAGAGGAAAAACCTCATATTATTTCACAGTAGATTCAAAATGTAGCCTCTCCATACAGAAGGTCTATCAACTGAAGTGAAAACTCTTGGCAAGACTGACTTCTCCGGAGAGACGGTGTGTCTTCCTCTTATACTACCACCTGAAAACTGCAATTTGAGAATGCAGTAAATCTCTGATAGCCACCCTGTGACAAAAAGCAACTATGTTCTAGAGAGCTTTCTTTTGCCATATCTTTGATTCCTGGTAATCAGAGGGTATTGCTTCTAGGACAATGGAGGTACTCATTCAACATGTCTTAAAGAGACTAGTGCATGGTCCAGTTTAGTTTAATGCAGTGGACTTTCAAACCAGAACTGCTTTTGCCTAGTCTAGATTAGAGAGGTTAAGTTACTTACCCCAGATCTCATGGCTATTTAGTAGTGGAGATCTGGGATATGAAACCAGGTCTGTGCTGCTTTAGGGTTTGAGCATTTAACCATTATACTATACTGCCTACTCCACTGAAGATACAAAGCTCTGTGTGCCACCTACCAATTTGCTCTTGCTTTTCTTAATACATTTTGAGGCACTTTTGCCTACGTGAATAATTATCATGATAGCTTTATTTTTAATGTCAAAATTATATTTTTAGAGTTAAATGAAACCTTGGTGGTATCTAGGCTAATATAACCCAATACCCTTACTTTACAGAGACCCAGAGAGGTTGTGACAGCCGAAGATCTCATGGTTGGTGACAGAGCTGGGAGCAGAACATAGTTTTCTTGACGTTTAGTCTGGCAGTTTGTCCACTTATACTATGATAACATTTTTTTGCACATTTGATGCAGACTCACCTAATGGTCAGTTGGCTATATGTCTAAAGCTCAGGAGAGATATGGACTGAAAATACAGATTTTGAAGTTGTCAGCATGTCAGGTAATTACCCCATGGTCTCTTGCTTTGCTCTCTAGATCTCTGACCTCTCCATTTGTATCCACCCATCTATCCATTCATCCATCCATCCATCCATCCATCCATCCATCCATCCATCCATCCCTCTATCACTCAAGAAATATTTGTTGAACACGTACTACGTCAAATGCTTTTCTAAGTACTGGGGATACATCAGTGAATAAAACAGACAAAAATTACTGTCTGTGGGGTTTACATTCTATAAATTACACAGTTTGTTTAAAGGTAATAAGTGTTATGTAAAAAGTAGAGGATAAGTAGTATTGGCAGTGTGGTAGGGAGGGCTGTACTTTTAAATAGGTTGTCAGGGTCACTGAGAAAGACACATCTGAGCTAACACTTAAAGGAAGTGAGTGACTGAGTCAGGCAGATGTTTAGGGAAAGAGTATTCCAGGCAGAGTGAAGAACCAGTGCAAAGGTCCTATGATAGAACACTGTCTGCTGTGTTCACCAAACAGCATGGAGGCCAGTATGACTGCAACAGTGAGTGGTGGGGAGGAGAGTAATAGGATACAAAGTCAAAGAGACAATGTGAAAGTGGAAGGGCAGATCATAAAGGGCCTTCTATGCCACTAAATGGACTTTGGTCTTATTGTGAGTAAAATAGGGAGCCAACAAAGGGTTTTGAGTAGAAGAGGGTTGTGATCTGACTTAGGTTTTAAAAAGGATCACTCTATCTACTCTTCTTGAGAATAGATTGTAGAGGGCAAAGGTGAAAGGAAAACCAATAGAAGGCTATTGCCATAGTTCAGAAAATGTATCATGGTGGACATAAACTAGGTCACAGCAGTAGTTATCATGATAATAGCAGGATTCTAGATGTATATTTTAAGGTAGACCTGACAGTTTTCTAACATTAAATATGGTATGTGAGGGAAGGAAAGTAGGTAAGGATGACCCTTAAATTTTGAGCTGAGCACTTAGAATGATGCAGTTGCCACTATCTGAGTTAGGGAAGGATTCTAGTGAAATAGGTTTGGGGGAAAAGATTAGGAGTTTTATTTGAACATATTAAGCTTGAGATGTCTGACATCTAAATGGAGACATCAAGTAGGCGGTTGGATGAGTTTGGGGCTCAGAGGCAAGGTCTGAGCTAAAAATAGAATTTAGGCTATCACTGGTATATAGATAGCTTTCAGCCATGAGATTGGATGAACTCATCAAAGGTAAGAATATAGATAGAGAAGAGGTCCAAGACTTGAACCATGGGGCTCTGCAATGATACGAAGTCAGAGAGAACAGAAGGTTATCAGCAAGGGAGACTGAGAAGCAGCAACCCATGAAAGGCTTTCAGAGTCAGGAGTTGGACTCTGAATTTGTGGGCAGTGGTATCCCTAGAACATTTAGGGTTCTGTATATATGACAAGCGCCTGGATGAAGTGTCAGGTAGAAGAGAGGGGAAGGCATTGATGGTGAAGATACTTTCTAATGAAGCAACAAGACAGAAGCAAATTGTATGGGTGCATAAAGACTACAAGAGTCCCTAAATCAGAGGATCTCATTGCTGAGAGGCCATTGAGTGCAAGAGGATATACCAGAGGCAGGTAGGAGTATGTACTGGGGTTTATAATCAAGACCTTATGAGACAGGGTTGGTAGCTCTGGAGAAGATAAGGGATTCAGTCATGCCAAATCCCTGTTCTTCCCAGCTCACTGCTCTGCCCATCTCACCTTCATGAAGTTCTGGGGCTATTAACAAAAATGGCACTTTTTCCTTGCTTTCCAAAGAGAACTAAGGCAGGCTTCTGTGTTCTCCCTACCCAAATAACCTGAGCTCCCTTTTAACAAAATTCAGGTTCTAAAAAGGAAATATAACAGCAGTTTACTTGGCTGAACTGCATGAGGATGATTATTTTCTAAATTCAATTCCAAAGCCAGGTTCCCTCCCAGAAATCACAACTTTACTGGCACTAATTGCCCTATCAGCATTCTTAACACAAAGATGAAGAACTGAAGGATGAGTCATGAAGGCAAGATGCTTCTTGCTGCTCTTCCAACTCAGAACTGAGAAGGCATGGCTGTAGGTGGGGAAAGATAAATGTATTTGAGAGATATCTATTTCTTTTATTAGAGACTATCAAAAGTTAAAGTCTCTTTAAGCCATGTATTTTTACATTCATTTAAAGACTGCTCAACAATGTGATCTATATGTTATACATAAGGTATCTCTGCTATTCTTTGGAAATTCAAAAACTGAACATCCTCTAAAATCTCCTCTTGTACCCAAACTAGACATTATAGGCTGTGAACCATCCTGTGAGGTTAGACTTGATTGAGACAATGAAAGCCTGATGTAGGCTGATTATGTGATAAAAGAATGATTAAATCAACAGGATTCTACCTTTACTTAAGCAGGTTTATACTGGTAGTGTCTCAAGTCATGGCTTTTGAAGTGAAAAAACGTAGTAGTATCAGTGTTGCACAGCTATCTCTAATCCAAAAGCAACACACTGGAAGAAAGAACAAAGGAAAAAATTCCATTGCCCATTTGTAGGGACAGTGACACTAGGAGTAAGAGACAAGGGTTCATCAGTGCTGCTCATTCACCTAGGCACTAAGCACAAATCCAGGAATTGGCCACTTGAGCTGACAGGTAAGGCCTACTGGGGCCACCTTATTCTCCATTCTCTTGTAGCTCTTCTCCCAATTCAGTTCTCTGAAATGCTGGCCTCTTAGATTTCTTATAATGTCTGGAAGGTAGTACCCCAAGTTCAAAGACTTAAAGAAGGCTGTAAAAACATTTTTCACTAGCAAAAGGGGCCAAGATGATTCATCCAACCAAACCTGACTGACTCTAAAATCCTCTTGGTTATGGAACAGACCACACTATGTAGAATCTGGGTCCCTACCAGGGCCTGATTCCATGATTAATTGATTCCTCTGTAAGGTAGAAGATGAAATAGTTGTCTGGTCCGATGTCAGAGGTTCATGTTTATCCTGATAAGGCAAGTACATTTGATCTATGGCCTGAACCTTTGAGTGCGTCCCATAACAAACAGCTTTAAGCTCTTAGCACCATAGAGGCAGCTCCCTGAAGCAGAACACCCAGCACCACTATGTGGAAAAAGCTTTAATGAGGTTTGGGTCACATGCAGAAGTAGCTTCTGATTATTCAGAGTAAATAAAACCCAAATAAATCTAGAAAAAAGTTTGAGTCAATTATTACTGCTACATTTTAATTGAAATATGGTCACCATATCTTTGCAGATGTTTTTAAGAGTCTAAAGAGAAAGCTATTCATTACTGACAAGAGAGATACCCTAGATCATTTTTGCATTGACTGGACGGCGGCAAGTAGCTTGACTTAGTCTCAGTGTTCCTCTTTCAACTCACAGTAAGTTGAACTTCAACTCCTTGTCTATCACAGCCCATTAGCTGAACAGCAGTAGTTCGAGTGATGTGTGACTAGCTGGTAGCAGTGGAGGAGTCTTAGCACCAAATGTATATTCTCATGTGCCTCAGGTAGGCTCTGACTATACTGTATTTCTGCCATCAGCAGCATGTAGGCCAGTTATGAAAAGGACAGACCATAAATGACAAGTGTTGAACAATTTGTGCCAGGTGCCTCCTGTTACCAACAAACCCGAATTTCTTACCAGAAGGCATTAGAAACATATTTTATCATTTTACTGCACCTGACACACAGAAACCTACTATTCTGTGCATAATTCAGTTTTGCCTAGTAAGAGAAAATTTCCCTGTCTTCTGTTTTCTAGGTGAAACTTCTTTACATACATCTATGAAGCCCTTGGATTTTCTTTTGGAAAAGAAAGTGTTCCTAGACACCAGAACATTGTGACTTGTGTGGAGAAAAAGCAGAATATTACTTGGATTTGGAGGGAAGAGGGTGCAGCTTTTACAATGTATTATCTCTTTTACTACTGGCATATCTGGTGGAATTGGAGGAGGTACTATTCCCAAGCCAGGCATCATTGGAGTTATTGGTGGAATTCCAGTCATCATTCCAAGAGCAGGATCAAAGTCTAAGAAAGGAGAGGAAAGAGAAAACAATAAATGACACCAGGCAATGTCAAGTAGAGGCAGAATGTTACCTCATTAACTTCAAACCAAAGATCTGTCAAAGACACAGGCAAATATTTAAGAAAACATGGTATTAGCACTACCAGGTCTTAAATATTATATTATACTTGTGCATTTTCCTTTTAGGATGGGGCTCTTTGTTTTTGTTTGACATCCAATATAGTTCACTAGATGATTGTACCTTGTCTGTTGATCTTGCCTTCAACCAGTTCCCAACACATACTCTCTGCTCCATTCAGATGAGGTTTCTTGTTATCCCTGTCTTTTTCCAGTGTAGCATGGTATTAAGAGAGTACAATTTTGGGGACCAGACAGACCTATATCCTAGTTCCACCCTTTGTTTAGTAGGATGAATCTTTTGAAACTCCATTTCCTCATTTGCAAAATAGGGTTAATTCCACCTACCTTACAGGGAGCTATAAGGAATAAATAAAATCATGAATGTAATGTGTTTCATAAAGCATAGCACAAAAATTGTCAATGAATAACTATTCTCTGTGCCTTTGTTCATGTTATTTTCCTTGCCTGGAATCATTTGCGCCTCCCTCAATTCTCCCCATACTTCAAGGCCTGGCTTAAGTTCCACTCTCTTTGAGGAACACTTTCCAGATAATTCTGGCTCATTCTTAACTCTGTGTCTAAAACTCTGTCTATACATGTTGCCACTGAATTTTATTTTATGTTGTATCATCCTTTGTCTCATTCAGGGGTGTTTCTAGGATGTGTGGGGAACCCTCAGCAAATATTTTCTGTGTGGATTGTCTATATACACAATTTGATTCACTCCAAATAAGCATCAACAATATTCTGGTGGTACAATCTCACACAATTCCATGAAAGAAATACTGTACCAGCCAGTTGGAGTGATTTACTCGCCAGGCCACCTTCCTGGAACTGAGACTCTGGGTGGACTCTGTAGGCATGAGTTCTGAAGCTTCTTGGGACTAGTTGACTCCACATGTTGGGTAGAAGATTAGAGAGGGCCCCAAAGGGGGAAATGGAGACTGGGTTCCACATAGGTTCAGTCTGAGATTGGGGCTCCTTACTTAGATGACAATGCAAGCCTGGTCAGTCCCAGCCACTGGAGGGGAACTTAGAAAAGTTCAACAGAGGTGCTTCTTGTGATCAGAACCCATATAAGATCTGCTCTGGACTGTGGGCATCTATGTTAATCATACTACCTACCTGGATAGTCCTCAGCATTGTAGGGGAGCTTAGAAAATATCAATGCAGGTAATCTGAAGCATGGGGTCCCCTGAGATGTGGGCCTGGGGCAGGGGTCCTGCTTTTCTGGGTCTAAGGGTGGTACTGATTTCATTGTTGAAATTTTGTCTCTGTATCAGAATGGAAGTTCAACCCTATTCTCTGCTATAGAATGCACAGTGGACTGTAAACAAAGTATTACATAAGGAATTCTGATAGTGTTAGGGCAGTGTGGTAGCAGTAGCTGGTCCTACTCCCCCAAAATTTACCCTGTTCACCACACAGGCCCAAGGGGCCATGGCCAAAAGGATGTCCTCAAGGTAGCTGTAAATCAATCCCCTAGGTGACTTTCTAAGATATTGAACAAGGTGGGTCTGAACAGTGGGAAGAATCTGCAATTCCTACAAAGCAGAAGTTCAGGTACAATAGGACCACTAGCAAGGAGTCTTGTGACTGGGCAGATAGGTAGGTGGGTGGCACGTGGGTCCCCACTGCAAAGCCAGTCCAAGAAAACTAGGGCATTTCCCATCCTCCACATGCTTGTCATATTGGATGTCAAGACCCTGGACTTGCTTGGGAAGGAAAAAGTTTCTTCGAAGAAGAAATTTTAGTTTTCTGAAAACAAATTACTTTTAACCTTTATCTGTCATCTCACCCAACATGCCCATGTACATGCACACATGAGCACACACACACACACACACACACTCCCATGTGGCTCTCATATCACTACTCTCCTCCACACTAGTCATATGATCATGAAGAAGGTTTCTTAATATCTGTGTGCATCCATTTCCATTTTGGTAAAAGTCGGCATAAATAATGACATTTAGCTCAAAGGATGAAAGGACAGAACAGATATGAAAAGCTCAGGCATGATAGGTGGTAGTCCTGATAGGTAAATTGCCTTCCTTCCATTCAAAACATGCATAAACACATCAATAAATTCACTTATTCAGGCATTCATTCCCACATCCCACAAATGTTTGTGATGGGCTCCTGCACATCAGGCTCTGTGTGGGTGGGGGAGGGGCTCCAGGTCTTCCTCTCCATCTTGGAGAATTTAAGGCCTTTGATACCCCCTGTATTCCTATGCTGTGGAATAAGAGCACTGTGGTTAAGATGCCACTTATGTCTTTAGAAAATTTGATTCCTTGTGTATAAAATTTTGGAAAAATTGTTAACATTATCTCATCCATTTTCAACTGTTAATTTTCAGTGGGAAAAGATCAGATTAGACTGTGCACCAACTAAGCAATCCCATCTATTTTTTCCCTCCTACTGAAATGTTTGTCTTCCTTTTATTGTTCTGCCTGCCTCCTCGTTGTTATTCATATAACTGTCACTTACAACTCTACCTTAGCACAGATTACAGAAACATCAGTTCATTAAACAAGCTCTGCCACTTTGGATGAGAAAGAAATGCTGTCTCCACGTACTGTCTACTAATAAATGGAGACAAACAAAAAACAAATACACAGGATAAATATAACTCCTGACTGATGTACACACCACTCTGCTCTTTGTTATGATTACATTAATATTTTATGAAATTCATTTAAAAGCAAGTGTATTCATGACATATGGCTAAAGTCAGAGTAGATAACTCCCTTTCTTCCTTGTGTTCAGTGTGCCAAGAGTTCTATAGGTTACATTGCCGAGGAGGGCTTGCTAGAGAGCAGGTTGTACAGGATGTTTCAAAGGCTCCTATCACATTGATTATTTCTTTAAGTTTATCTTCAACCATTAAGCACCAAAGGAGATGTGAATTTCCAATGCCAACCAAGAAAATAAGCATTTGAAATTGTGAGCCTTATTCAAGTATTGTAGAACTTCAAACATTGAACGAGTCCAACAATTTGAAACACATTGGGAATAGAACACCAGAGAAATTCTCTCCATTTTTGAGGCCCCTGACCTGGCTTGAGGGGTACACCAGATATGTAGCATTACCACTCATGTTAGGAACTCAAACTTCTGAAGGAGATTTGAAATCATTTTATGAAAGGGTAGTGGAAAACACCACGGGATTCCTCCCAAGTCTTTTCCACAACTACCCAGTTTTTGCTTTTACCATTTCTTCTTCCAGCACCCTTTTCCCCCTACTGCTTTCTTGCTCCTTGGCACAGCCCTTGGTGGAAGTGCCATAAGATGTTGGTTCACATTCCCTCTTTTAATTCGTGCACTTCCCAAAGTTCCAGCTTACTGGAAATGCTGCAAATGCCATGTGTTAATTGCACCAGATTGCTCCTCAGATTTGCAGCTCTATTACATAATTTCAGGTAATGTCACAGTGTAGCCTTAGGCATCCTGCTGCTCAGCAACTTGGCACTCACTCAACCTAGTTACCTAGCAACACATATTATTTTCCATTCTCTCTACACATCTGAGCCAGGGAGTTACACTGGAGGCACATATCATTCCTATGCTGCTGTCCAGGCACCCATATGTTCATCCATTCAATGTCTGGATGCTAGGCCCTGTGCCAGGTGTTGGGGTTGAAGAAACAAATAGGACAAAATTCTCGACCTCGTAGTCTAGTTTGGAAACAGCCACATGAAGAGTTATAATGCTGTATCAACAATTATATCATCATCAAAATTGTTTATTGGGTACTTACAATGTGCCAGGCATTGTGCTAAGCATTTTATATTGTCTCATTTCAACAGAACTGTGAGCCAGCTATTGTTATTACCCTTCAGTTTATAAAGCATCTGGGGCTCAGAGGGTTTAGTTACTTGCCCAAGGTTACACAGCCAGTAAGAGGCAGAACTAGGATTCAAATCCAGGTTGTTCTAACTCTAGTGCTCTTAACCAGTACACTGCCTCTCAGTGTAGTATGAAAATTGTTTTAATGAATTAATTTAATTGTTAGGTATAAGGTGAAAGCAGGCATGCTGAAAAACATGGCAGATGAGCAACAAAATGATTCTATACATCAAGAGGTGAATCTAGGTGTGCCCAGTCTCCTTTGAATCAGGCTGGGCTCTAGAACTGCTTTGACCAATAGAATATGGCAGAAGGGATGTTGTGTCTGTTTTCAGGCTCAGGCCTTAAGAGAGATACAATTCCCACTTTTTGTGTCTGGGAACACATGTTATGGAAACTTCTAGTCACCATATAACATATGTGATTAGCATGGTACCGAGATCATGTGGAGAGGGCCTTAGAGTAAATGGAATGGGAGGGATCCAGCTGAGCCCACTGCTTTTCTCTGTCCATGTCAAGATACCATGCATATAAGCAAAGCTGTTTTGAAACCTCCAGACTAGCCCACCACAGCTGAGACATCCCAGTTGATACCATATGGAACAGAAGCATTGTCTAAGTCCTGTCCAAATTCTTCATCTAGAAAATCTTGAAATAGAATAAAATGACTTTTTCTATTTTATAAATTATAAAGTAGTTTGTCATACAGCAACAGATAAACAGAATATACAGCGTGTTTAGGAAGTGGGATGTGACTGGTTAATAGAGTCAGCTATTTTCAAAGAAAGAAAGTAGAAAGTACCCTGAGCACCTAAACTAGACTGACCATTTTTCTCAGCTTATTGAAAAGGTATTTTGGGACCCTTCAAGGACCTAAAGCCACTGTCTTGGGCAGCTGTACTGCTGCTGTGTGGAAGGACCACTTGGAACAGTGCTAATGGCTAAAACTCTGCTAGATGTACTAAGACTACAGATGTCTACAAAACACTAGAAACTTTAGAGGTTGTCTATCTTCAATGTCTGACAAAAA